ATTATCTCCACTGCATTGACTACCAGTCCAAGCACACCCCTAGTACCCACAAGTACAGCAGTAACAACAGGAAAGCAAACAACCACAATCCTTCCTGCTCCACCATCAACACGACCAGTCACCTCTGGCATTATCTCCACTGCATCGACTACCAGTCCAAGCACACCCCTAGTATCCACAAGTACAGCAGTAACAACAGGAAAACAAACAACCACAACCCTTCCTACCCCACCATCAACAAGACCAATCACCTCTGGCATTATCTCCACTGCCTCGACCACCAGTCCAAGCATACCCCTAGTACCCACAAGTACAGCAGTAACAACAGGAAAACAAACAACTACTACCATTTCTACTCCATTGTCAACACTTGTCTCGACCACTGCCAGAATAACAACAGGAAAGCAAACAACCACAGCCCTTCCCACTCCACCATCAACACGACTAGTCACGTCTGGAATTATCTCCACTGCATCGACCACCAGTCCAAGCACACCCCTAGTACCCACAAGTACAGCAGTAACAACAGGAAAACAAACAACTACTACAATTTCTACTCCATTGTCAACACTTGTCTCGACCACTGCCAGAATAACAACAGGAAAGCAAACAACCACAGCCCTTCCCACTCCACCATCAACACGACTAGTCACGTCTGGAATTATCTCCACTGCATCGACCACCAGTCCAAGCACACCTGTAGTATCCACAAGTACAACAGTAACAAAAGGAAAGCAAACAACTACAACCCTTCCTGCTCCACCATCAACACGACCAGTCACTTCTGGAATTATGTCCACTGCATCGACCACCAGTCCAAGCATACCTGTAGTATCCACAAGTACAGCAGTAACAACAGGAAAGCAAACAACAACTATCCTTTCTCCTCCACTGTCAACACTTGTCTCCACCAGTGCAGGCCTATCAACTGGTAAGCAAACAACTACAACTCTTTTTATTCCACTGTCAACAGTCACCAAAAAAAAAAAGCAGTATATCATGTAATCTCTATTATTATCTTACGTGTTCTCAGCAAGATATTTCAATGCACATTTATCGAAATGTTTACCTGTGGTAGAAAGTTATCTATTTTAATTGGAAATTTCCTTCTCCCCCATGTTTTAAGGAAACAACTTCATCATTCTGGTTTGTTTAATTCATGCTATAATATGTGCCCTGCACCTGGATGTTTCCTGACAGTACTTCAGTAAACATGGTTCTGAGGTAGTCAGTGGTAAATCATTCTCCTAAGCATAATGCTGTGGTCCTGAATGTAGTTGCAGAATTTTTGAGTTAACTGTGATTTTTGTAGGGGTAGGGAGTTTTTTCTCGCCATAATTTATGAAGAACAGTATTAAAGTTTGGTAGTACAATTCCAGTTGGTATCAATCTCATATCATTTCGTTATTTCTATGTTATATTTTGTGTCTTTCTCAATATCAGGCTCTACACTCGCAACTACTTTAAGCAGAGTAACTCCATGTTTCTGCCATGTATCTGGAACTCCTGATTCTTTATTTTCTCCTGGTGAGTTTCATTCAAAAATTGCTTTGACTGTACATGTAATTGGAGCTCATCTTTCCACATAAGTACTCTATAGTTTCTGACTATTTAATCTGGGGATGCTAGTGAAAATGTTTTCATTTATTCAGGTATTTAACTTTTTTTTTTCATGATGAATCTGAAAGCATCAGTTCCTAGTCTGAATGTTTTATTTAAGGATATTGGTCCTTAGAGACTTACCATACTCCAGCCATTCCTTTTATTATGGGGAGAGCAACATATACTATGCCACTCTGTTCCCAAGCACTTGAATCATGAGTCCAGTGCCTTTCCGGGATCTTCGGGCTTGAGATGAACAAGAGTTAAAATTCTGTTTTCAGACATTTTTTCTTATTCTACCAGTTTGTATATTTTTTCTGAACATTTTTGTTAATATGTGCATTTTGATGTGTATTTTTCCTATAGACTGCATTGTTTTATATCCCGATGAGGAACTTACCTTTTTTCTTAATAATTAATATTATTAATAATATTAATTATTAATAATTTTGCTTAATATTTTAAAACTATAGATTTTGGCTTTCATATAGTCTCTTATTCTCCTTTAGTTTCAGGAAATTTTGCAATGGGATGGAATAAATTATTATTGGGGATAGACAACGAAAAGGAATGGTTATTGATCCTCATGCCAGCCTCTCTCTCTCTCTCTCTCTCTCTCTCTCTCTCTCTTCCTGGGAATTGACACTTGCTCATTATAAATCACAAAGGCCGTAATATCATCCACAGGTTTTTTCGGTGTAACATACTCTAAAATCAATGAGCTTATGTTCAAAGAACACATCCTGAATCACATTTAATGATAACTTCTTTGATGCTTATACAGTATACCAGATTTACTTCTGCATAAACTTGATTAGAATGACATGTTGCAATCAAAAATATAATGTTTGACTTACACATGCATTTAACATTTAATTATGTGTTTTGATTTATAGCATTTGTGCATACTGCTTTTTAATTTATTGATTCTTTTAAACAGGGGAAATAATATATAATACAACTGATCATTCTGGATGCCGTTTTATTGCAATCTGTGATGCAAATTGTGAAATTAAGAGGAATCCGGTATTGTGCCCTACAACAACTCCCCACCCATCAGTTACAACCTCAGGAACATTACCTATTCCCACTTCCACAACTTTTACTCCAGCAACTGAACTACACACTTCCCCAACTCCAAGAACTGGGGAAAACATTTTCTCAACTCCTGTACCAGATTGCCCTGATGCGGGTCCACCTAGAAAGGTAATGTGGGGTTTTTTTCATGCACTCCTGATAAAATTTTCCATTAATTGGGATTAAGCATTATATTTACATGACTTGCATAGGCAATTTAACCTAATAGAGCACAACTTTCTAAAAGTTTGTCTTCAGAAAAACAAATGTTGGAGGTTTAAATCTGGGGTGATAGTTGCCAATCACCTTCCTTGTAGTTCCCAAAGCCCTCTCTGACCACGTCTACTGTTTGCCTGGAAGACAAAATATAAATTGTCATATAAGCTCTATAAACAATTTGAACAAAAGAAAGGACCTCCTGCAAGTCTCTTTGAAAAGAAAAACAACAAATGTTGGCCATAGGATGTGAAGGCCCATGTTCAAATTCCCAGTTGTAATTTTTTTTTTGTTATTGTGAGCGTGGATCCATAAAACGAAATCTTGTGTTCTCAAGATTCCTGTTGGTCTCACTTTCTGAAAGGGTGATCTGCTTTAGAACCAGTATTCCCATTCATCTGTTTTAGTATTTGCAGTAAGCAGCATTCCATCCAGTGACAGACATTGACAGAGATGTCAGCATTCCAAAGAGTGCACTGCCAACAACTATATCATCCAGAAAGAGAAAGAAGGATGAGATTATTGGCACAGCACTCAATGCTCTTCTCTATTGTGTTACATCCTTGGGTGGACACAACTAGCAACAGTGGCTCTTCCTTTACACTCAAGCCTTTATTTTAGCCCCGTCTTCATTAGCATAGCTCTCAAGGGTCTTTCACAGTCCTTGAAGCAGAAGATTGAATAGGGATCTGTATATGCAGAGCATGTCTTCTTTTACTCTACTCATAGTGTCTTCCTGGACACATTCGTGTAATTTTCCCGGCAACAATATGGAAATAATTTGCCATTGCATTTTTGTAGTGATTTTTTTCTATTCCTTTTTCCAGTCTAGTTTAAAGACCTAGGATTTCTTAGTAGTTACTCATACAGGTACTAAGCAAACCTATACCTGATTATCTTATGAAACCAAACAAAATCAACTAACTGCTCCCGGGTGGCACTCTTTGTTTCCCAAATGGTATTATTGCTCCACGTTGGAAAGATCCCCATTTGTCCCCAAATTGGATTACTCCACATTGATTCCTAGCTGACCTTAACTTTTTCTTTCATTGTTTTTAATGAGGTCAATAATTTTAGAGTAATTTTCTCTTGTTTGCCCCCCAGTTTAATGAAACATGGATGTTTAATAATTGCACTAAAGCAACATGTGAAGGGAACAACCGAATTGTTGTGGTGCCACTCCCTCAAGCTGAGAAGATAGTCTGTGCCAGTGGACTCGAACCAAAGAAAATAGTGGATAAAGATGGTTGCATAGAACGCTATGAGTGTGAATGTAAGCAAAATAGATTACAGTATAATATTCATATTTACAAAGGAGTAAGCTCTGTCAGGTTTAACTCCATCTCCTTTATGGAATTATTTGTAGCATTCCAGCTTTGATTTCTGGAAGAAAAAATATGTATATTTTAATTTTATGTAATATGCAATTATCTCATATATACATGCATTTATATATCACCTCCTATAACATTATCCAAGTTATGACATTCACTCTTTTTAATGGTTACAAGACAGCTCTATAGTCCTTCAAATATCATGGTTACTAATTCTTTCAGTGGTGAATTAAGTATCCTTTGTTAAGATTTTTAAAGATTCCACATCTAAATGTGCACCTTTTTAATTTTTTAAAAAATATGTTTTCTTATAGGTATCTGTAAGGGTTGGGACCATTACAACTTTATGACTTTTGACGGCACTTCTTATACTTTCCATGGCAATTGCACTTATATCTTGGTGAAAGAGATTGTGAATAAATATGGAAACCTCCGTATTTTGCTTGACAATGCCTTCTGCGATGTAGCTGTTAATCAATCCTGTTCCAGATCCCTAATTATATATTACAACTCTATGGAAGTCCGACTAACTAGTGAAATACATGAAGGAGTGAGAGTTAACAAGGTAATGTGTCATAGGTTTTAAAAATAATAGTGTTTCAACCAAATAGAGAAAGCTATAGTTATGGTAGGGCAATACTGCAAAATACTTCTTGAATCATATAGTTATCATGAGAAAAATATTTGTTTTTTTAAAAAAATGTTGTACTATCTTTAGGACAGACCAACTACTCTTATTCTTGAATTAATGTTTATTTATGGTGTGATTTATGGTATAGATAAATGTCATAAAGTTCAGATAAATATCTTCCTAGAAACAATGCCATTGGGCCAGACCTTGGGAGAATAGAAGCTTCCACATGGCTCACAGAGCCATGTAGTGATGGAAGGGTGGAACAAAAAGTCTTGTAATAGCTAAGTCCAGGCTACAACTAAGCACCTTTTTAAATTGAAACCATTTCCCATGTAAAAGGAAATCTACCAAATCACAACACTGCCCTTTGGAAAATATGTTTAATAGGGATAGAAGAGCATTCATACATCCAGCTCTTCACATTCTAGTTGCCCATTGATTATGTGCCCTCAGAAGCTGCAAGCCTGAACTGTTCAGCTAGCTGCATTTATACTCAGGGAATTGTTTTTTATTGCCAATTATGTATTGTTGCAGCTTCAAGCAGCTGGACATCATTGTATCATACAGGTGGAGAAACACACATATGAGAAACATGTATATATACACATACATATACATGTGTGTGTATAGACACACACAGTGCTTTTTTTGTCATAGAACGGAGTTCTGGCATTTTTTTTCGACGGATTTTTCAAGTTTTAAAAGTAACTTTTGAAAATTTGATATTTGGTCCACGTGGACTTGAATCGCCCTGTCGAGCATAGCAGGTCGGTGGTAAAATCATTAAAATGGTGCATGCAGGCTGCTTGTGTGTCGAGTCTGATGCATGCGTACGTCATCCGCGCTGGTTGTGATGCTGCTGCTCGGCTTGTGGCACTGCTCGGCTTGTGATTGGTCGTGTGGTCACGCGCTGAGTGCTTACTGCAGGCGGTGGCCGTTATGTTTCATTACACAACTGACATGTGTGGGTGTGTGTACAGTGATTGACTATGTGCGAAAGGTAAATAATTTCTTTATTTTAAAAAAATCGTTGGTAGATTGAAAATCTTTTTTTAAATTTTTAGTGTAAAAGTGTGACCCCAAATTTAAAAATGAAAAAAAATTACTAATTACTTCTCAACCACTGGTCCTAAGAACTGAATATATAATTTTTTAAATAAAAGATTAACAAGATGTGAGTTCTGGCACCTTTTTTCTTACAAAGAAGCACTGGACACACAAATACATATAGCTTATTGTTGTGGTTGTGGTTGTTAATCTTTAATTCAATTCACAGTCTGGGACTGATAAAAACATAACAATTCAAGTCCTAACCAAGGACCTAAGAGCTGTTAAGGTAACAGCTCTTAGGTTCCGAGTAAAGTGGTTTTTTTGCAGTCGGAATATTATTATTGCTATTATTTGAATGTTAGCTTGAACAGTACTTTGGGGAAAAGGCAGGTTACAACAAACAAATTATTTTTTAAAAAAATTCTAAAAGGGCAGCAGAACATAAGTATTATAAAAGCGACTGAAGTAAAATGCATTAAAATGGCGTAAGGTAAATTGTTCAGATTTACATTACAGTTTGCTCTTCAATCTTCTTTATCCTGCTGTTTCTAGATTTTTTTCGGCAATGACTCTGTCCCAGAGGGCTTTGTCAAAGATGGCATTGTGGCTACTAGTAATGGTGTTACTATGACGATTGAAATGCCTGCCATCAGTGGTTTTGTTTCCTTCAATGGTTTCACCTTCTTTATTATGCTTTCACATGAACTCTTTCAACACAACACAGAGGGACAGTGTGGTAAGTAATAAGATTAAACAAAATATTTCAGCACTTTCTCTCCAAAGTGGTACCTTCAAAAGAAATGAATTCATATGTGAGCATGCCCATTATTGTAAAAATCAACAACAAAATAAAGTTTAGCAGTAAGATAAAGGGTCAGAATATTTGTCTTTCAAACTCCTTGTATTTCCATTTATAAAAGAATTCAAAGTTGCTGCTACCTAGATCTACAGTAGCTAGCTTGATTCAGTTTCAGAAATAAAGATGTCTTCAAGATGAACTTGGCTTTTCATTCATGCAGACTGGTTAAACAGTATAATGGAAATAGTTTCTCACAAGTTTTTCCTGGGTATTTCTCACTTTTCCAGTAACAAATAGTGTTGGAATCCCCAGGTGTTCTGCCATCCAGTTTCTAATCAGGTCTGATCCAGTTTAGGTGTCGGACAAGCCGTGTAGGCTCGATGCTGACACTTTCTAAGTGGCTTGATATAAAACAGATTCATACACAAACACACAGACACAAATACTCAGAGCCATCATTCACATTGGATACGTTTGTGTGTGTGTGTGTGTGTGATATCATTGTTTCTTATTATTGAAACAGGAAATCCATTTCACCATCCAAATGTTATCCCAAGTGGGCATGCTGAATATTCATAGAACTTGCATTTTTAGCCTGCTTATGATTTGCCTCTTTTTATTCCTAGGGAGTTGTTCAAATGACCAGTCAGATGATTGTCGCAAGCCCAATGGACAGAAAGCTGACTCCTGCTCAGAAATGGCTATCTACTGGCAAGTGCCCGATATCAATAAGCCCCACTGTCAGGTGGAGCCAACAACACCTCCTATAATGAGCACAATTGTGCCAACTACACCAGTGGAGTCTACACCAACACCAACACCCTGCAGCTTTCCATCACCTTTGTGCCAGCTGATTATAAGCGAGTAAGTGAAACTCAGCTTTTGCAAACATGGCCTCTTTTGTCTCCGGCATAACAAATAATATGAGACCTTCCCAGAAAACATCTGAGTCCCATCAGATATAAAGTTACTTGGAATAGCAGTGGCAGGACCTGAAAATGCATCATCAGAAAGATTGTGAGGTGCACGCACAAGCACACATCTATACTCATTTATATGCAGACACATTTACTAGCATGTGCAACAGAATTGCTTGAGAGTCAGGTTCCCTGCTTCACTATAATTCTGCCACAATGAAGACTAACCCCAACCCTAATCCACTACCGTGCAGTGGGGCTATATTGCTATTATCCTTCTCTTTTTTCTTATCTTTCTCATCTTTCCTACTGTCTTCCTTTGCAGTGATGGCGAATCTTTTAGACATCGAGTGCCCAAAAACCGTCCTGCCCCTCACCCCCACCCCTGCTCTGCCCCCACCCCACCTGCCCACAGGGCCACCTACCGCCTCCAAGGCCTGCCACAACAGATCACCCAGGCGGCCCTGCAGCACCATGGCAGCCATGACCTCTGCCCGCATCCCACAGCATCATCTGCGCACGGTGGAATGTGAGGGCGGAGTCTTGTCCCTGCTGCCTGATTGCCATGTCCTTGGCTGCACTGCTCTGCATGGGATGTGCCTGGGGGCTACTTTCCTCGGGGGGGCTGCTGGTGAGCAGGCGGCTGCGGGGGGAGGCAGGACTGGGGTGATGGCATTCGTGCCCACAGAGAGGGCTCTGCGTGCCACCTCTGGACGCTTGCCATAGGTTCGCCACCACTGTCCTATTGGTATCTTATGATTTATCACTTGTTGTTTGTATCTTGTGATTTATGATTGTATCTATGACTTACCACTTTGTTGTTTGTATGTACATTGAGAGCTTATGGACCAGAGACAAATTCTTTGTGTGTCTAATCATATTTGGCCAATAAAGAATATTCCAACCTGTGTTAGTACATCAAATAGATGTCTACAAACTACTCCTATTCCCCAGTTCTATTCACTCACCAAGCTTCTCTCTTCTCTTTCCCTTACTTCTCAGTAGCCTGTCGCTTACCTGGCACAATGATAGGAAAGGGAGCTTCACCAGTAGACTAGCAGCTCTTGGCAAACTGGCCATTATCTGATTGAGCTAGGAAGCAGCAGTTCTAACAGCAATCCAGATGGGAGGGTCTGCAACCGGTCTGCAGACCAGTCTTGGACATGAATGGTCTCCCCAACTATACATATACCTTGTATGGTGATGTTATGATATTTCACAGAATTAGTTATTGCCCTGTATTATTTACCAGGTACTCAAATGATCTTCAGATTTCTTATATATCATATAGAATAGTAGTCTAGGAATGTGACCTAGCAGTGCAGAGTTTTTACATGCTTCAGTAGCATGTCTTTGCCACAAGGCTTATTCTTTCAGTTGTACTTTCACCATGAAGAAGAAAAAAAAGCTTGTTTAATTGATATAATTTTAATTTCATCACCTGGTTTTACAGTATTTTTGCAGAGTGCCATAAAGTTCTGTCTCCAAGAAATTTCTATGACAACTGCCTCATTGAAACATGTCAGGCTTCCAACAATTCCTTGAGTTGCATCTACATTGACATGTATGCCTCTCTTTGTACGGCGAACGGGGCTTGTGCTGACTGGAGGAGCAAGACCTATGGGAAATGCCGTAAGTAGAGGATGAAGCATCTGTGTTTGTGTCAAAAGACCACTAGACAGCCATGTAAACTGAACAGCAACACGACATGGGCAAACATTATTTGCATCTTGTATCCCAATTCTTTTTCAGACTTTATTATTGTTTTTGAAGATTGAAAGGCAGAATGCAAGGTAGCAGAAAATATGTAAAGCACTGGGAAGAAGAGGAGGGATTCCAATCCTTGGAAGTCGCACTTAGAACATAAACTTTAGCTAATTCTTCACTGTATTCCAGTCTTCAGAAATATTTGCTGATTCATATCAGTCTTTCTAGAATATGATTTTTTTTAAAATTGTATTTATATCCCATATTATTTTTACAAATAATTCATGTTTGTGAACATATCCAACACACCCTCCTTCTCCTATTTTCCCCACAACAACAATTCTATGAGGTGAGTTGGGCTGAGAGAGAGTGACTGGACCAAGATCACTCAGTTGGCTTTCACAGTTAAGGCAGGACTAGAACTCACAGTCTCCCACTTTTTGTATTGGTGACTTAACCACTAGATCAGTGCTTCTCAACCTTGGCCACTTGAAGACGTTAGGACTTCAACTCCCAAAATTCCCCAGCCAGCAGGGCTGGCTGGGGAATTCTGGGAATTGAAGTCCAGACGTCTTCAAGTGGCCAAGGTTGAGAAACACTGCACTAGATCAACAGTGGAAAGCTTCAAGCAATAGCAAACATCCTCAATTCTGCACATTATATTGTATAGTATAAATCAACTCTGCCAGTATCCATGTGTGAATCATATTCCACAAGTTATGGCCTTTTCTAGAGCCTTATTGTAACTGAAGTTCTCCCTTTGTCTGAATAGATCCATATAGTATGTTGGCTAACCAAAAAAAGAGAAAATGCCTTCCCCATAGGACTTATGTTTTAATTAGTGGAAAGTTTAAAAAGCAAATACTGGAAGAAATTACTTATAAATTCAGTAAATTGTTATCACTCTTATTTGTGACCTTTGTTTCACAGCAATAATTAAATGAAAAACAGATTTTGGTAGGGTGGAGATCCTAAAAACTGCAAAGGTTCTGAAAATATCCTAAGTATAACTCTTTCAAGGTCTATTTTAAACAGCTCAGAAACAAATCCAAAAATGTTGTTTCTGTTACAAACAATGTTATTTTTTTATTTTGCAATTAAAAGTAATTAACAGTTGCAAGTTCATTAGGACATAAATGTTTTTCAAAAGGAAGAAGTTGCCCCTTCGCCCCATGAACTTATAAATACTTAAGGTTCAGTCCTCAAAATTTAATAGAAAGCACTCTTGGTGGAATAATGTAGAGATTTGACTATTTTCTTCAAGGAAAAAATAGAGGAAGAAAGATAAATAACAAGAAAGAAAAGTTAAAAGGTCTCTTTCCTCTCCTTGATTCTCCAAACAGTTTGAAGTCACTTGTAGCTGTTTTATTGGTTTTGTTGTCCTACAAAATCTCTGGAGAAAGAGGTTGTGTATCTATAGTGCCATATAGTTTTTTTCCCCTATTGGAATATAAACCTTTGCCTGTTCATAATGTATTTTATTCTCTCATTTACAGCCTATTATTGCCCAAAAGACAAGGTGTATGCTCCTTGTGCTCCTATTCATCCAGAAACCTGTGAAAATGGGTAAGAAGGGGTAACATTAAATTACAATACTAATTCCTTTAACAGGTGTATTTTTTATTTCTTTCAATAAGAAATGGGACTTGATGGAATATTACGAATTTATACCCAAGTGTGACATAATGACAGTTTATCTATTAATTAGGAAAAAAAGTTATTTTAAACATTCTTATCTATGTAATGATATATGAGCAAAACTAAAGGTTATATGAACTAACATGGCATTTAGCTCATACAATGAGATTACGTCTTGCTCTCCTTTTGCACTAATGCATATCTGTCACTGTACTATGTAACTATATTCTGGAACTGTATTTTTAGTTATTTTTATTATTTATTAATTTATTTAATTTGGGGGTCACCCAATTCTAATGTAGCCCTGATTTTTTCATATTTCTGCTTGAGTCTGAATAAAACCTCTGCTTTTTAAAGACTTGCCTGAAATCTAATATTTGGATACCTTAAAGCAGTTGCATCTTTTTTTGGGGCTCACCAGAAATCCTGAAAAATATTGTACTCTTTTAAGGAATTCCAGAAAAGTCCCAGGGTTGTGTGAGGTGCACACTTTATTTGTTAGAGGCACTCTAGTATTCCAGAAATGAAGCCCTTTGATAAGACATCTCCATGTGCTTTACTTGAGAGCAAGGTTCAGACTCAGTCTGCCTTAACTTTCATATTTGAGAGAGGTTTAAAATGCTAAAAATGGATTTTCTGAAGTATCTAATTTTGAATAATTATTGCATTAGGAGTAAGCAACAAGAATGACCATTTCTGAGTTACCTTTCTAGATTTAGATCTCCTATCATTAAAGCAGAAAAATTAAGTCAACCCAAAGTACATAGGGAATATGCATGGCCTTGAAGTTTGAAGATACCCAAAGATCCCTGCATCAAAATATTAGATCCTCGTGGAGGTGATTTTTTCAGAAGACACATACAGGTAGTCGTCAACTTATAATAGTTCATTTAGTGCCCCTTTAAATTTATAACGGCACTGAAAAAAGTGACTTTTGGCCATTTTTCACACTTACAACCATTGCAGTATCCCCATGATCACATTATGCAAATGGCAACTGGGTTGTGTTTATCATGGTTGCAGTGTCCCGGGGTCATGTGATCACTTTTTGTGGCCTTCTAACAAGCAAAATCAATGGGGAAGCCAGATTCACTTAACAACCATATTATCAACTGAACAACTACAGTGATTCACTTAAACAGCTGTGACAACTAAGACTCCACCCAGAAATGGCATCCTGAACCAATCAAGCATTTCCCTGCTCTGGCTGGACAAGTGGCTGCTTTGACTGCTAGACACTGGAAAAGGAGTGACATAGAATTACCCCTCAAAGTGCCAATTTTCTTTTATGTCTGAAGAACTCTTTTCAAAAACATGATTTTTGTGGGAATTCATGATGTGCTCTTGAAATATTTAATCACAAAATGGAAGACACCATATTAATCTGTCTGGCAACAACTTTATCACTGAAAAGATAGCAGGAATATTTATATATAATACTAAACACATTTCAGTAATATACAATTTTCTCCATTTCTTGCAGATTAACGCATGAGAAGAACGACCATGTTGCTGAACGATGCATTTGCCCAGAGGGCACAATCTTGTTCAATTCTCACACTGGCCTCTGTGTTCCAGAATGTGGTAAGTTTCTCTTTTCATTATGAATAGTGATGACCCACTAGTTACTGAAGCAAAAAGCATACTGATGATAAGTAGAATCATCTTTATATTTGGCAGTTGCGAAGAACAATCGTATGGTTTCGGAGGGAAAGATGGCCTTTACAAATTTTGCTTTTTCAAGGAAATTAAGTACACCAGCTCTTGTGGCCACAGTTTTTTTGTAACTGTTTGTAGTGTTTGTAGTTCAGGGTTGAAATGAGGGGTCCTTGGTGCTCTCTGAGTTCTTGCAGATGTTTCCTTACCAAACTAGGTAACATCATCATTGCAATGTTCAGAATTCCAAGCTAGCTGTGGTCTTAATGCATCTTGATACTTCCATGTTGAAGGAGACTGTACTATATTATCTGAGCAAAGGACAGCTGTGTGAATTGTTAACCTTTTTTCTTTTAATAGGTTGTGTGGGACCAGATGGATTACCAAAACCGGTAAGTAGTTCACACAGAATGTTATGTCATCATGAACCCAGAGTACATCACTAGCAAAGGGCATCATGTCACTTTTGATTGAAGATGGAAGACCATTTCACTTAAAAGCATAAAATGGAAAGATCAGTCCGTGGAGGTAGAGGCAGAGTCAAAACACACGCCCAAAAGTTGTTCTTAGAAGAGCAAGATTAAACTAAATGAAATTAAAGATTAAGACTATACTTGGAAAGAATCTTATAAAAAATACTAAACAAAATATCAATTTTAGGGAACCGGTTAAGGTTCTGGCCTAGAAACCAGGAAACTGTGAATTCTAGTCCCATCTTAGGCATGCAAAACCAAAAGGGTGATTTTGGACTAGTCACTTTCTCTCAGCCCAAGTCCCCTGGTTGTTATTTTGGGGAAAATATGAGGAGGAAGGAGTATTGGTATGTTCGCCATCTTCATTTTTATATGAAAAAGCAGGATTAAAAAAAAAAAAAAACACCAGTTAACCTCCAGTCCTAACTAAAATTCTCAACTTCATGCCCATTAGTTAGGTTTATATTGATCAGACAGAACTCTTGAAAAGATGCATACCTAATTTATAATAGTTTCCTGTGGTTTGTAATTTTAAGGCCCTTCTTGGCCATTCAATAAAACCAACATGAAGAAAATCTCTCCCAAATGTTAAGGCACAATTCAGCAGGCATATCTGACACAATGAAAAGTTTAAAGCCGAGTAATTGCTCCTTCTTAAGTCCACTGATGGTCCAAATCATAAGTTAGAAAAGTACAGTTATCATTGCCTCCTCATTAATCTGATTTTTCTTAACAACAGCCTGGTAGCAAATGGAAGAGCAACTGTCAAGAGTGTTTGTGTGATCCTTTGTCTATAAGCGTACAGTGCAAGCCACAGAACTGCTCAAAAACGACACACAGTTGTGAGGAGGAAGGATACATGCCCATCTCTGTGCTAAATCCAGAAGATCCATGCTGCCCCCAAATAAAATGCGGTATGCATTATTGGTTTACTTATCTCTGATACCAAAGGGGTTGTGAAGCTCTATTGTGCTCTCCTCACACACACCCAGTGCTTTTTTTCTAAAAAAAAAAAAAAAAAAGGTGCCGGAACTCACACACATCATACAACCCACCTTGCCTACCCTACAAGGTTCCATCCAAAAAAGGTGCTGGAACTCCGTTCTGGGCGTTCTATGAGAAAAAAAGCCCTGCACACACCTGTATCCATATACAGCTTTAATATATTACAGGCACCACAAACACCACCACAACCTCTGTTGCCCTCTGACAGCAGGGGCTATGATTGCTTGGAATGACAAGGGCTATGGCCCAATGAACCTTCAGACCCCAAAGTCTGAGAAAATAATCTAAAGAAATGACATCAGGGTGCTGCACAGCCAAGGTCTAAAAAGGAAAAAGAAATAAAAAATAATCAGTGAAAACGTCTGGCTTGCTTGAAGGTGGAATTCATGCACACACGCACGTGCAGAGAGAGAGGGGGGGGAATACATGGAATGATGTTGGGAGGCAGGGCAGCCAAGGGAAGGATCAGTTAAAAGGCAGCTTAGCCTGAAGCAAAAACGTGAACAGGGCAAGAGCTCAGAAGAGACTCTCCCTAGTTTTGGAGGCCATAAAGGGAATGAGAGATAGAAATAGTTTCAGACTTGCAAGATTCTGTTCTTGTAATTTTACAATAAAGTAAAATTAGCTCTTCTTATGTTTTCTGTCTGGCTGACACACACTGCCCGCTTCACCAGCACTTTTGAGACTAAACAGGTTTATCTGGTTGTGGTTGATGAGTCTTCCACATAGCAAGCACTCTTTGTCTTTGAAAGAAGAGAGGGGAAGCATTGTTATGCCTAGGTATTTCAACTTTATATCACCACTTATCTTTGTGGTATTGTGATGAACAATGATGCAAAGCTATTCTGATTCCTGAAAACAGAAACAAGAGAAATAATAATTGGGTCTTAAAGTATTAATATTAAATACTAGCTGTACCTGGCCATGCGTTGCTGTGGCTCAGTCTGGTAAAAGCATGTGTTGCTTTTACATCCAACAGATGGCGCTGTTTTTCAAAAAAAAGCATGTTTTACCTGTCACAGGTGTGACATCTATATAATAGTAGGTATATAAAAACACGTGCGTATTCGAATGCAACATTGTATCAAAATTTCAAAGCAATTGGTGAAGAACTTTCAGAGATTTAAGATTTTGAACAAATGAACATTTACATTTTTATTTATATAGATGTTTCCATTAGAGAAAAAGTTAACTGCCTGTCACTTTTTTAGAGAGAAAAGGTTGAGAGAGAGCATCTAACAGGGACAGTAAATCAACACTCAAAAGAGAACTGAATTACCAATCCACATATTTGATATCTAGGAAAGAGCAATCTTTGGAGATTCAAACAGCTGTATTCTTCACATGCTAGCACCATATGCTTCAGATAGAGATTTCAGACAGAAAGCTAGAAATCTGAGATTTCTAGGATCAAGGTTACATGCACTCAATACACCAGGATCTCCTTGTTCTGATATGTCATTAGAATTATAGATGAGATGGACAACATCACAAGAAGCCAGGCATGTCCAATTGCTTGGGGCTTCATTCAGTTCTTTCTTCTTGTTGATCTATTTCACAGTATGCAACATCAGTCTGTGCTCCAAGGAAAAGAAGATTTGTAAACCTGGATATCACGTAGCCTCAATCTCTTATGATGACTGCTGTGGCAGCATTAAGTGTGGTAAGTTCAAACTTGCTGAGATATAATATAATATAAACAGATTATATTATATAAACAGCCATCACCAGAGGAATTGTAGATGAGATGAAACAGCATGAATGTAGCATGGATATATTCCTAATTTTGGTTTCTATTTGTATTTTATCTCATAACAAACTTTAATTTAAAAATGGGAAATTCGGGTAGCTATAGAAGCATAAGAGAAGCTGTTTTCTGCTGTAGATTTGAAGTTGTATTGAAATAGCATCCCCTACTTTAATATTTTACTCAATTTATTAATAATAAGTCTGATAAAACTGTGAAATCCCCATTCAAACCTTCATTCTGCAATAAAGCTCAGTGAGAGTGACATTTCATATTCACATATTCACTGAATTTGGTGGATCAGAGAAGATACACCCAGAATTCCATCATGAGAGGTTTAGACTTGTCCCTATATCTGTGCCTTATCTATCCCAAAGGGTTGTTGGCTGCCATAAGCTTCTTGGAGGAAAGCAATATAAAAGTCACAAATAAAATGAAATAAAAGTAACTTTGTGTATAAAGTATTCAGCTATCTTCTTACAATTAGTTATAACTGGTTATTTAAATGGTATTAAATAGTCAGTATTCAATAGTCAACTTAGAAAGTTCAGACTGCCTCAGGAACTGTTGATAGAATTCTACAGAAGAATTATTGAGTCTGTCATTTGTACTTCTATAACTGTCTGGTTTGGTTCAGCAACCAAACAGGACAGGTACAGACTTCAGTGGATACTTAGGACTACAGAAAAAACAATTGCAACCAGTCTGCCTTCCATTGAGGAGCTGTATACTGCACAAGTCAAAAAGAGGGCTGAGAAAATATCTACAGACCCCTCATATCCTGGACATAAACTGTTTCAACTTCTTCCCTCAAGACGACGTTATAGGGCAGGGGTAGGCAACCTTGACTCTTTTATGACTCGTGGACTTCAACTCCCAGAATTCCTGAGCCAGCCATGCTGGCTCAGGGATTCTGGGAGTTGAAGTCCACAAGTCATAAAAGAGCCAAGGTTGCCTATCCCTGTTATAGGGCATTGCGTGCCAAAACAACTAGACACAGGGACAGTTTTTTTCCCTTGTGTCATCACTCTGCTGAACACCTAATCCTCACAGTATTGTCCGATGTCTATTTACCCATGTTGTATGGCTATATTATTATTATTATTATCCTTCTCATCTTCTCTACTACCCCCTCTTATTGGTATTCATTATTATGATTATTATTACTCTGTGGCTTGGCATGTACACTGAGAGTTTCTGCACTGCAGACAAATTCCTTGTGTCACCCTTGGCCAAATAAAATATTCTAATTCTAATTCTACTATTCTATTCTAATTCTATTAAATTCTTATCATTTTTTTTAAATTTTTAAATCTGAATTTCGTTTCCCATTATACTTTAAATAATTGGTTCTTTCTGTTTGCAGAAATAAGAGAACGTATCTGTTTGGTTAATGGATCAGTTTATGAGGTAAAGAAATTAGTATTTATTATACACGTATGTGAATAAACCTGTTTTCTACATTTTCAATTATAAATCAAAAGTTTAGCATGAAGATCCATACTGTACTCTGGATCTCACCATCTCTGCCAGGGAAAGGGTTAATTGACTTGAGTTCTAGAGAATGCACACAAGGAATGATATCTGTGAGGGGGACCCCAAATATTAAGATGGTACTTACAATGGTACAGTCAAAGCCTTTTAAGTCTATAAAGGAGAATATCTGTAGTTCAGGGTTGAAATGAGGGGTCCTCATTTCTGAGCTTGGTTGTTTTCTTGCAGATATTAATATACAGTATATGTAACAATAATAATAATAATAATAAAAAAGAGAGACCAGGACCCTAGCTTCAGAGCTGCTCACCCACTGACATTCTTATACAGATTCCTATTAAATATGCACCATCTTTCCTTGTCACTTACATGTTTAATGAAAGAAATATACAGGCTTAGTTACAGTAAACACAAATGCTGCCTTTTCCTTTATGAGAATTATATAGAATTATATTCTATATTTTTTCCCCAGCCTGGGATGACTGTTCCTGGTAAATCCTGTGAAACGTGCATCTGTAGTTCTGTTAGGGACCCTGCTACCAAGAGAAATGTTGTGGAATGTAAGCCGGTTACCTGCAACACGGATTGTCCCATGGTAAAAACAAGCCTTTCCTGCCTAAATGTAGCTTAACAGGATTTTTACCGGAGGCTCTCTCTCCCATAGATTGGTAGCCACCAGTATTAATTCTTATTGTCTGCTAACAGGGTCATGAGTATCAAGTAACACCTGGTGAATGTTGTGGAAACTGCATCCAAGTGGCTTGCATCGTCACCATTAATGGTACTACTGAGATACTGGAGGTAATATCTTCTTATTCATATTGTAAACAAGTGAAATAGTAGGACATTCCTGTACTTTTGCTAACTAATCTGAACTTCTTCCCGAACTTGTATTTTAATGCCTACTTTCTTCATAGCAATGGCCGATGAGAAATACTGTAAGCTATTAGAATATGAATAGGACTCAGCATGCTTCCCTCCTAATATATTGGACTATACTTCATCATCCCCAATCTACAACTCTGGTAGCAACTGGTAGGATAGGAAAGCTGGACTGAACTGAATATAGGTAGTCCTCAACGTATGACCACAATTGGGAACGGAACTTCCATTGCTAAGCGATGTGGGCATTATTTATTTTATTTATTTATTTATATTTGAATTTATATCCCGCCCTTCTCCCGTAGGACTCAGGGCGGCTGACAATCTATTTAAAATACATACAAAACAATACAAATTTAAAATTAATTAAAAAGAATATTAAATATTTGTCGAATTTAAAATATAATTAAAACCCCCCTAAAAATTACCCTAGGCCAGTCCTGCAAGNGGGGCAGTTCATTCCAGAGGGTGGGAGCTCCCACAGAGAAGGCCCTCCCCCTTGGGGTCGCCAGCCGGCACTGTCTGGCTGACGGCACCCTGAGGAGACCCACTCTATGGGAGCGTACCGGTCGATGGGAGGTACTCTGCGGCAGGAGGCGGTCTCGAAGATATCCGGGTCCGATGCCATGGAGCGCTTTAAAGATGATTAGGCAAAACATCATGCGACTGCACCACTTAGCAACAGCAATTCCAATAGTCTCGGTTACGATCATCAGGCCAGGCCAGTGCTATTGATACCATAGGCAAGGACTTCACATTTCTCCTGCTCTGCAGTGCTTGCCTTCACTTCATCTGCCTCCATCTGCTTTATCTCCTCTTCGTTTCTGCTCTTTTGGGTGCCCTGCACTGTGCCTGCTGCTTCCCAGTGTCACTGCCCACAGCTGACTTTTGCTGTCTTTTTTCCTCCTGCTGGTGGCCCTGAATCTAAGCACTGGACAAGGGTGCAGTTCTGAGATGCATGCAGTGAGAACAGCAGAGCCTCATCTGCCAACGGGAATTTGCCAGGCCCAATCAGGGTGGAGGCAGCATGATGCAAACAGTGATTCAGATATGTGAACAACCGGTTCTCTGTGTGGATGCCGCTTCCCGGAAGTCCATTCTGGGCCTGGGCAACAGAAAATTAGCTACCGGTTCTGCCAAAGTGGTGCAAACCGGCTGAATCCCACCACTGGATGTGAGAAAAAGAGCAAGTGGTAGCTCCCTGAGAGAAAGTGCAGGGCTATGTGGAAGGTGCTCTTTGGGATGGTGGCAGAACTGGAGAAAGAGGGAGGTGCAGTGCACACTCTGCAGCTCATCACAATAGCAATAGCACTTAGACTTATATACCGCTTTATAGTGCTTTATAGCCCTCTCTAAGTGGTTTACAGACTGAGCATATTGCCCCCAACAATCTGGGTCCTCAATTTACCTATCTCGGAAGGATGGAAGGCTGAACCAACCTTGAGCTGGTGAGGATCGAATGCCTGATAGTGAGCTGAATTAGTCTGCAATACACCACCACGACTGCTTATGTTGCTAGTACTGCTAGAAAATCAGCCACTCACAAAAACACCCAGGCACTGTCACATGTGCTGCCAGTGCTAGAATATCTAAACAGCCAAGCTCCTCTTCCACAGCATCTGAGGCCATGCTGGGTGGGAAATTCTAGAAGTTGAAGTTCATACATTTTAAAGAATGAGGTTGAGGAACACTGATTTAGACATATTAAGAACTTTGATTTATATTTTCTATTATAGTTTATAATATAGTTTACAATTAAAATAACAGTCTTCTCTCATACTCTCTCTCTCCTAATTTATAAAAAACAGCCTGGGCAGACAAAAGCGAGTAATTGTAAACAGTACAGATGTGAACCAAGGAACAATATACTAGTTTTGGTTGAGACTGAAGAAACGTGCCCTTCTTTTGATCCAGGCTGTAGTCCTGTAAGTTTTATATCACTTTTTATTTATTCTTTTTTCATTTACAGTCTACATTTGTTGAATGTAATGAAACATGGTTTCTAAAAACTATACCAAAGGTTTATATCAAATAGTCACGATCTCCATCTGTCATTCAAGGTTGAGGTTAATGTTATTTATTATTAATAATCTTTCTAATGATTCTTATTCATATGCCCTGAATAACTAGCAGTTGCCTCCTACACCATAAAGTTGTTTATTTGTTCAGCAAGAAGAAATGGTGATGGCTAAAGCTAGGAGTGTGCCCCACATCTCATTATCCTCCCTAAATATATTCAGTATGAAAATATTCATATATTCAGTATGAAAATGTTTTTATATATATATAATACTTATATTTGGACGAGCAGCATTATCTCTCTTTCCACATTTAGAAACTCAGAGATAACAGCTTGTATTTCTTTAGGTACCAATCTTATCCACATTATAATCTGGATTATTTTCTGGAATCCCTATTATTTTCTGGCAGAAGAGTAAATGTCACACACTTGGATGAATTGAACTGAAACTGTTGGGTTTTTCTCATTCTTACCACTAGTGAGATCTGGTGTTCATTAGGTGTTTTTACAGAATGTGACGTTCCTCAATGAAAAAAACCATAGAATGCTTCTGTTAGTAAAAGTGCATCTATGGTTTCTTTACAAAGATTGAGAAATGATGCATTTTTTCCCACTTCATAAGCAGACAATAAGCAATAACTCATAATTAATTCATAACTTGCTGGCTTTGATTCTCTTCTTTGGATAGATTAAATAATGATAGATTGAAGCATTTTGTTAATGGAGTTTAAAATGAAGTTTTAAGGCTAAGGGTACATTTAAAACCCAGTACTAGAAAGTATCTACTTTTACTTTATATCCAGATGTAATAATGATTAAAATAATAAGACAAACTTTCTTTGTTGTCAAAGGATCAAATTGAATTGACTCCAAATGGCTGTTGCAAGATATGCAAAGAGAGTAAGTAAACAAAAATTTAAAAAATCCATAACTCATAGGGTCCTTATTAAGTAAATTTGATGACCATTACCTCTACCTCTTCATTTAAATTTATGAATCAAAATGTTGAAAAGGGCATGCCTAGGACTGAATCTTCTGCTATATAGTTTGATAGAGATAAATTGTCTCCTGAGATACCTAAACATTTTTTGCTTCAATTTGTTTTTGCTTATATCTTACCTGTCATGGACTCTTCTCCACCAGGTCAGCAAAACCTAGTCTGTTTATTATGCACATCTTGCACACTTCCCTTAAGTAATACTCCAGTCGTATCTATTATTGAATTCCTGAGAGTGAAAACTGAAGGCTTTGTGGGCTTGTGTAACATTCATCATTATTTGTAGGGAGTTAAGCAGATGGCAACATCTGGCATATCTTACCTTAAAAGGCTAAGTGGAGTCATAGATGGTTAATAAACAAATGGGCAGCTACTGGGGAATTCCAAAGTTGTAGGAGAGATTGAGAAGATCAAAAAATAACTTGGAAGCAAACAAATGGTAGATTATTTCTTTAGTCAGCAACTACAGCGGTGAATGTGAAGACCAAATGAAAAGTTTAATATTTCCTTTTTCTCTTTCATTTTTAAGCACCAAACTGCAAGCCATACAAGAATCAAACTCTAATTCGTGAAAATGAGTGTGTATCTTCTGAAACTGTTGAACTGACCCACTGTGAAGGAACTTGTCCAAGCTCTTCAGTGTAAGTGACAAGGAGGCCTATCCTACTCTTACCTATTCATTCCTCTGCTGGGTAATGTGATATTCATAAAATATCAGCTTAGAAACTAAACTCAAGGTTACGTTGATCCACCTGGACATCTTGGAGACAAGAGCCCCTTCCAATTTGCCAGTTGATTCTATTGGATTGTTTTGATGATTGGGTGGCTATGTGCATTCTTAACCACTCCAACAAACTACTGTATTTGCTGGAGTTTTAAAACTCTATAGTAACCCCAAAAGACTTATTTGAGATGGACAGTGTAAAAATGCATGTAATAAGTTCCATTTTACAAAAAGTATCTAACTTTTTTTTTCCCCATCTGTACAGATATTTCCAAAAGGAAAAGGCATTTCATCATAATTGTGCATGTTGCCAAGAGCAAAAGAGCCATAGAAAAGAAGTAACCTTAACATGTCCAAACGGCACGACCATCATTTATGACTATATATATGTGGATGAGTGTAAGTGCATAACAGACGTATGCCCCTCTGAAGCCCCACCCAGCTAGAAGAAGGATAAGAATTTTCATTTTTCTTTGTTCAAGATAAATCCAACGATCATTCTGCAGAAATCAGTCATCATCCAGTGCTATTTGGATCTCTCCCTGTGTCCTTGACTCCGATATTTTTCTGTTGGCCAGGTGCTTAATCAAATTAATGTCCTCTTTCATGTAAAAAAAAATTACATTCATCCTGGCAAAGTGTTTTCAAAATGAGAGAGTTCTCATTGGACGTTTTTTCTCATTGGAAAACCTTCCAAGTATTCCTAACATAATAATAGTAATGTATAACATTTTAATGTAGAAAACTAAATTCTTATATAGTATGTCCATGCTTTTCTTGCTTTGCTGATTATTTGGGGGAGGGCAGGGGTTACAAGTCTTTAAATGCAGGCACAAACTTCTGTATAGCACCAATGCACGTGCTAAACTTGCTTTCCTATTCTGCATTTTTGAGATTAATAAACGATACTTGAATAAGTTCAGCTTGTATAACTGCTGTTTTCATTCATCCAACTGCTGTCATCCATTAAAGTCAAACTTTCACATTGCAATAATTAACTGTTTCATTATATGAAAAGAGTAGGGCAGCCCTTCCCAACTAGTAACCTCCTCCAGAAGGGATTACATAATTTATTTAATTATGATCAATAACCTGCAAAGTATAAACACAAAACAAACAACCCACCAGTGTAATGGTCATATAAAATGTAAACATTTAAGATTTTAAAAACGGAGAAAGAGAAAATTTGAATATGATACAATCAACAAGATAAAACCTAAGATAAATAGAAATACAATTACATAAAAATACAATAATATCAAAAAGTAAATAAAGATTTCTTAATGTCATCATGACAAAATAGGGAAATGTTATGTCTTTGTATGAAAATGACAGCAAATAGAAACTTAATTCCACGGGTGATGATAGTACTTCAGGTTCCTTCTTATCACAAACACAGGGTCCATCAGTCAATGGGAATCATATAGTACCAATAGAATATTTGTAGCTGAGGGTTGAACTGTGGGATCTCTGATGTTCTCTGAGCTGTGGGGCACCAAAGGTAGCACTTAACACTTTAGACTTATGTACTGCTCCACAGTACTTTACAGCACTCTCTGAGCTGTTTACAAATGTCAGCACATTGCCCCCAATAATCTGGGTCCCCATTTTAACAACTTCGGAAGGATGGAAGGATGAGTCAACCTTAAGCTGGTCAGGATCGAACTCCTGGCACCGGACAGAGTTAGCCTGCAATACTACATTCTAACCACTGTGCCACTGCACAAGGAATACTAGTATTGTGAAGAATGAGGCACTAAAATGAGACAAAGAAAGAAGATTAAAAACTTTGCAGGTACAGGTAGTCCTTGACTTATGATCACAATTGAGCCCAACATTTATATTGCTAAGTGAGACATTTGTTAAGTGAGTTTTGCCCCATATTGTGATCTTTCTTGCCACAGTTGTTAAGTAAATCACTGCAATTGTTAAGTTACTAACACAGTTGTTAAGTGAATCTGGCTTCCCCATTGACTTTGCTTGTCAGAAGTTCGCAAAAGGGCAATCATATGACCCCAGGATACTGCAACTGTCATAAATATGAGTCAGTTACCATGCGTCTGAATTTTGATCACATGACCATGGGGAAGATGCAACGGTCGTAAGTGTGAAAAACAGTCTTAAGTCACTTTTTCAAGTGCAATTGTAACTTTAAATGGTCACTAAATGAACTGTTGTAAGTCGAGGTTTACCCGTATAAACATTTTCCAGGTTGCAACCACTACTGAAGGATGGCTATAGCACCCAAATATATTTACTGTGTATTGTCAAAGATTATTTGATAGATTTCAGCTTTATTTCTCTTTAAACCTAGGGGTAGCAGAGAGTAGATGGAAAGACCACAATAATCACTGATTTGAATGAATAATCAGCTAAGGTTTTCTTTCTTTCTGCCTTGATGAAAAGCCATGAAAAACCATTAATGAGACCAAGGGGACTTTGAAAAAGAGGAATTTAAGCCAACAAGACAGTTGGCTGGTGTGAACTTTTTCTCCCAATGGAATCATGTCAGTTTTCATGTTGATTATAGCATTTGAAACACAGGTGTGCAGAAAAGCCATGTAACAACCTATCTTGAACAATTTCAAGGATTTTGAATCATTGTAGGAACATAACTCTGCATGATACACCATTTGGGGGTATAGATATGGCAAATTAAATCTGTTTAAAAAGTTTGATGGTGGCAGATAGACATCTTCTCCTTTAGAAATGAAAACAAAAAAAAAAGGATTACTTTGACACTATTATTAGCTTTGGCAGAAATACATTTGTTCATGCCAAGCTCCAGAGGCCTGAAAAAGTATGCCAACATATTTAAAAGCTGGAGCTTGTTCAAATTTTGATATTTTCAATTTGCCTTTGATGTTTGTGATAATTTGGTCTTCCGAAGAAAACCACAATGTTGATCTTAGAGTGACTGACTGTAAGCCCTTCCTTCTTACAGAGTTCTGCTAAAGCCAGCCAACTTCTCTTGAGGCCCACTAAAAAAGTGACTATATCAGCAGCAAATAGCAGCTTTGCTGGATGCCCAACACCAAGTTTAATGGGTGGGGTCCCTTTTTGGTTAAAGTAAATACCACTGAATTCACAGTCATATTAAACAATAGGAGAGCTAGAAAAATATTTCAATTTTATTGCTTGATGGATTGGAAGCAAAGTAGGCCTTCCCCCACTCCAAGGATTACACCAAACCTTAAAATTCCTGACAAACTGTTTGGAAATCCATAGATTCTTTTTGCCCCCTAAAACCTAAAATCTTTTCCTTCCATTCTCGAATGCAGACATGTCAAACACAAGGCCCACTGGCCAGATCTGGCCCACGATGGGCCCAGTTTTGGCCCATAGGGCCACCCTGGAGACAGTGATGGATCATCCTCTGCTGCCCTGGCCCTGGCTCTGGCCCACCCCAGCCAGCACAGAAGATTGTGAGCACACAGGGGCAGGAGGTGCCTGGCAGCAGCCACAGCCCACTACCCCTTTGGCCGCCCATTGGCCGGAGCACCCTGGAATCCCACAACTTGCACAGCACAGGTGGATCTGAGTGCCGCAGCCAGCAGGTCAGCCCACCAAGCAGCAGGTGGAGGCAGAGGTGCAGGGGCAGAGGCACATGATCCAGCCCACTGGACGTGACAGGCAGCTGACTGTTCACCCGCTCTGCCCAGCTGCAGTGGGTGCAGGCAAGCAAAGATGGACGGTCTGAGCGCCCTGGCTGCTCGGCCAGCCTGCCAAGCAGCAGGCAGAAGCAGAGGCAGAGGGGAAGGCACACGATCCGGCCCACCAGACGCACGGGTAGTCGCCCACCTGCTCTGCCCAGCTGCGGTGGGTGCGGGCAAGCAAAGACCAACGGTGGGTCTGAGTGCTGTGGTCTCCAGGCCAGCCCTCAAATGCAGGACAAGCCTCCCACCCGCTGCCACACCCCTGATGGCTCCAGCAAATGGGAAGGGCGGGGAGCCCCCCATCCCCAGGAGGCCGCCAAGACTCCCCTCCCTGCTCTCCCCAAGCTCAGCTCAAGAGTTGCCTGACGTGCAGCCGGGCATCCCCTGGGAAGCAGTTCCGGGTAATGTGGCCCAAGAGGGATGGTGGAACAGGTCCTGGCACCCCCCCAGTCCCACTCACCCCTCTGCTGGAGACCTCTGGATCCCTGGCATAGCCCCGCCCAGCCCCCCACAGGCACCTCCCGACACAAGCAACATAGAGCTGACCACACCACCTGGCCATGCCCACCCAGTCAGCCATGCCCACCCAGCCACATTTATCCGGCCCTCTGAGACAACCAAAATGCTGATGCAGTCCTCAATGAAATCAAGTTTATTGTTGCCACTGTGTCTCTATCTTGTTAAAAGTAGTGACATCTATTTTATTAGAACTTACTATATGGCATCTGCCTTTTTCCAGTGTGGCCATAATTAATACATTTGGTTGTATTTTCAAGCAAATCGTGTAATTGTTATCCAATTTTGACCAAATGTTAAGGTCATATATACGGTTTATAATAGATGAAGCAGTGAACAAAACTTCAGATTTGAAACTGAATGACCAATACGATAAAGCTGTTTTCCAAATTGCTGTTCATATTAAACTTGGTGATTGGCAGTGTGAAGAAGGACTTTTGTAAGACTTTGTCGGTGTTTGTTTTAACTTTAGTGGGTAATAGGCTACACATACCCTTGTAAAAGCGTAGACAGACAGGGGACGTTAGGGAAAGTGTTCCAATGTTTTACGGGTACTAAAACATTTCCGGTATTGTTGTTTTCTACGACACAAGACTTAGGTACGACTTTCCGAAAAAAAACTTCATAGAAATACAAGCACAATGCAACACTTGCAATCCAGATGTTTGCTCACAACTCATTCATTTGTTACACTGCATTAATTAAGCTCCCCTGATTTTCCAGCTGGTCTAATGATTGTGTTTGCTGAGACGTGGCCACAGTATTACAAGCCTTCAATTTAAGAATTCTTCCATCTTAAACTAAGCTAGTCAGTTCCTTTGTTCCTTCAACAGAAAATACGTAGAGTTAGGTTTGCTTGCTGACCTATCTGATAAATATGTATGGTTCTTCCTTGCCTCAAAAAGCCATCCCTCTTTAAAAATGTATTGAATACTTGCTGGAAATGTAAACAAAACCCAGGCACTTACTACCATGCCTGGTGGATATGCCCTAACACAAAGAAATATTGGCTTAAGATTCATAAATGGCTGGAAAAGATGACGAAAATACAGATAGAAGTTAAACCGGAATTGTTTTTGCTAGGAATAGTAGGATCTAGCTATGGTAAAGAGAATGACTATTTAATATTACATGTATTAACAGCTGCAAGAATAGTATTCGCCCAATTTTGGAAAAATGAAAATCTACCATCTGACCAGGCTATAATTTTGAAAATCTTAGACTGTGCAGAAATGGACAGATTAATTTTGGAGATGAAGGAGAAAGAAGACTCAATTTATTTTAAAACCTGGGAAAATTTTTATCGATGGTTAGAAACACATTAGAATATGAACAGAACCCAAAATATTTTTTTTTAAAAAAGCCATCTCTCCATATCATATAGTGCTATGTCCTAAAGTCTATAAGAAGAAAAGTGTTTGCATTTTTTTTGCCATCATAATTTAGTCAGCCAATCTGACTAGAATCTGAGGACAATATAACCGGTACTTTGTTTTTACTTCAGTAAAGCATAGCATATAGAGAACAGGTAGCTAGCACATTTTGACTGATTTTGAACACATTCCTACATTTTCAGACTCTTTTCAGCAAACAGTTCTAAAAGCCATTAACAAAAATATTTCAGGCATAACTCAAGCTGCCTCCCAGAGGCTTGGGTTTTGGGCAAAAGGTTTTATGAGAATCATTTAGATACCAAGGATGCTGAATTTCTTGACAGCAGAAAATCTGATCATCTGTGGATGAACGGT